GAATCATGGAACACTGCATCAAAAACTAATGATGTAATGTATGGTGGTTAACATAACCATAAAAAAATTATTAAAAAAAAAAAAAGATGGCAGTTCAGAGCAGCCAGTGGGGTCATGAGATAACTTTGAATCCCTTTGCAAACTTATCTTTTCATGTTTCCTCCTCTCTGAACTTACCACATTCCTGAATTTTATTTACCATATCCTTGTTTTCCATTATCTTCCACTTAAGCACAAAGTATCATTTATTTTGCTTCTTTCTAAAATCTTATGAATGGAACACACTCTATATTTCTATGGCTCTTGCTCATTACGTTAGAGTCAGTAACTTTCACTGCTGTGTACTATGCCAATGTAAAAGTAGTCCACACCTAATTATCCATCCTACTTTTTTTTATTATGTTATGTTAATCACCATACATTACATCATTAGTTTTTTTATTTTTTATTGTTATGTTAATTACCATACATTACATCATTAGTTTTTGATGTAGTGTTCCATGATTCATTATTTGCGTATAACACCCAGTGCTCCACGCAGAACGTGCCCTCTTTAATACCCATCACCAGGTGAACCCATCCCCCCACCCCCCTCCCCTCTAGAACCCTCAGTTTGTTTTTCAGAGTCCATCGTCTCTCATTCCATCCTACTTTTGATGGGCATGTTTTATTTCTAGATTTGTTACTGCAATGATATTAGCAAAACCAATGTAACTGTGTTTTATGACAGAGAAAGCATTCAAGGATTTTTAGCTGTGATGAAGCCAGTTAGGATGAAACAAAAGAGAGACATTTGGAGGAGAAACAAAAAAAGGTCAGAAAAAAACCATACCCCCCCCCCCCAGGAACATTTGGTAGGTTGTTCTGAAATTGTGATAGACAAGGAATTTTATCTTCTTCCCTCATACTACATCCATTAGCTCTTCATATATTTTTATCTACCATTTCAGGTCTGAAGAAAAAGTGTCAGAAATGTCAGAAGAAATACAAATATTTAGTTTCAAAATTGCCAACTGCAAAAGAGGAATCAGGCACTGTTCAGGAAATGGTATCCTGGTTTTTGTTTACTCAGAATATGACAAAATGTAATTATCACTTTTTGAATAAGAGAAGTAGCGTTTTTTTTTTTGTTTTTTTTTAAAGATTTTATTTATTTATTTGACAGAGAGAGACACAGTGAGAGAGGGAACTCCCCAAGCAGGGGGAGTGGGAGAAGGAGAAGCAGGCTTCCCGCTGAGCAGGGAGCCCAATCTGGGGCTCAAACCCAGGACCCTGGGATCATGACCTGAGCTGAAGGCAGACACAACTGACTGAGCCACCCAGGCATCCCTATTTCTTCTTTCTTTTAAAATGTTAATTTGCATTCTTTCCGATAAACAGCATTGATTCATTATAAAATATCATAAAATCATTTGGTAAATAAATTGCAAATATTTTTCTGCATCTCAAATTTGATGCTCCAAGATGTAATAACACTATTTTATAGATAATGAAACTGTGGAAATAATGAAACTCACTATCCTAACACAGTCACAATTATTCAGGCATATATAGTGATTGGCAGTCATATAATCAAACTAACAGCTCACTGTTTTTCGATCTCAGCTGGACAGTGATCCACTTTCATAATCATCATAGTATGCACACAAAAGAAAAGTCCATAAAAAAAATCTCACAGATATTAAGTCGTTCTCGGTTACTGATATTAACACACAATGTCACACATCTCGTCTCTCAGTCCAAAGAGACCTTTGCATATGATCACAATATCAATCCATGACCACGTATTGTTGCTTTTCAACAGTGGTATGTAATTTCTAACACAAACCGCCTTACACGTAAGGAAACAAAGATTCACACTAGCACAAACTATCCCATGAATGTAAACAACTCCACTCAAGGTCCCACTCACCGAATTGGACCCACAAACTCACCCAGAGGAAGACGCACCCATCTGTTCAACTGCCAGACCCTGCTCCAGTCTCTTGTAATCTAGATAAGCTCGTGGCCTAGCTCATTCCCACGGACCTTAATTGAGATGTTCCGGCTCACTGAAGCCTAAGTCCCTGGTCACCACCCCCGTTCCCCGCCCCCCGCCCCCTTCCCGTCTCCACCTCCTCTGGAGTCCAGAATGCGTTCCTCAGCCTTCTTTGAGAACCGTTCATCAAAGACCACAACCATTCATCAGAGATGTTGTTTGACAACAACATGAAAGATGACTGAGCTGCGAGGTTCGCCGAGCTGGAACCTACCCCCCGCAGCAAAGACTAGAACGAACTCGGGGTTGACTTTGGAGAAAGCGCCTTTGCTACGCGTAGCCGAATTGCATGCTGGGAGCAGTCTAAGGGTCCAGGGTCCCAGCTTCCGGGGATTTGCCCGCCGTGGACTACATTTCCCAGAAGTCCCCGGGCACAGGTCTTTTTCCGGGCGGGGCGAGTTTGCCAGCGGAGACCTCTTTGGATGGCCAGATTCCCAGCCTCCCAGGACGTTCAGGCTCTTATTTCCCATAAGCCTGTGGGTCCGTTTCCGGTGTCCTGAAGGTTTTTGGGCTCGGCGAGTTGAGGTGATCGCGTCGGAGGAAGTAATCAGCGCCGGGTCAGAACCGGCAGCGAGGGTGGGGGTGACTCCGGGAGGCGCCCGAGTTGAGGAGGCCCAGGTCGGGGACTGAGCCTGTCGCGTTCGGAGCCTCCAGCCTGTGTGCGCGCGAGCGGCTGAGAAGGATGGTGTGTGACAGCCGGCGTGGCCAGGCCGGGGTGTGTCTCCGTAATGGTGTTTGCGATTGGGAATGTGTGATGGGGTGATGAGGTGCGTGGCCTTGTGGTTTTGCTTTGGCCGTTTGTGCTCCAAGTTCCTTCTAGACTTTCTTTGGGCCTGCCAAAATTAAGTGACCGCAAGAGAAGGAGCCCTACACGAAGCCCTAGAGTGAACGTTTCACGCAAGAAGGCATAGGTCCAGTCTTGGGATGAGCATTTTATATCCGCAGGTGTCCTCAGGACTTGCTCCTAGGAAGACGTGATGGGGAGGTCCCAGAGGTAAGATTCCTAGAAGGGGCGCGTCTAGGAACTCCTTCGGAGCCAGCTACCTGTTTCAGAGCCGCTGCAACCAGACCTCTGTCCCCAACAATTGCTGTCAACTCAGAGATAGAGTCCAGCCTTCCTTTCAATTCCATTTGGTTTTGTGTGGATGGAGGCAGATATGGCTCTAGACAGCGCTTTGGTTTTCCGTTTTTGTTTTTGTTTTGTTTTGTTTTTAAGTTAGGTCTGTGCTCTAAGAAATGTTGGCGTCTCATGATTCTTTTTTGCCCCCTACTGCTGCCGGGTTTTTAAGAAGGACCCTGAGGAGGAGGAAAGAATTGCCTCATATTTTGAAATCAAGGTTCAGGTGAGTGTGTGTTTCTTTCTTTCTTTCTTTTTTTTTTTCCCCACATAATTACTTTTGTTTTTAGATCATGGGAATATTTCCTTTCCTTGGCCTGCAAAATTACTGGTAGTGTCTATCCTGGGTTTTCCTTCTGGTGAATGACCCACCCTACTCATGTATCTCTCTTCTTAGTGACCCTCTATTGCCCCTATTCTCAATCAGTAGCTAGCTGTTCAAATGGCAAATTATTCAAATCCTTCAGTGCATTCTCCTTTTCTGAGTATGTGATGATGTAGAAGTACACCTCCTAGAGATTAGTGTTAGAGTTTTATTTTAGGCTATGATTACTTGAGGAGGTTGGTATTTGAGTGGTATCATGTGCAAACTATTTTCTGTCTTCTCCACAGTCATGATTTTTAAATCAAGGCAAGGTAGAAGGATTGTTTCCGTTAATAAATGACAATGTTGTGAGGCTTTTAAGGTGTGGGAATGTGGTTGGTCTTTGAGCATAGGGGTTTGTAGTTTGCACCAACAAGGACAGAACCTTTCAGATAATCTTTAGGTAGAAATCTGTAACGTTGCTAAACATGAGTTATTTCAGGTGCCACTTTGTGAGTGTTGTAGAAGCGGTACTGTGTTATGGCTAAGAGTAAGGCTCTGGACCTAGACCATCTGTATTCAAATCCTGGCTCCACCTGTTACTAGCTCTGTGAGCTTAGGTGACTCAGGCTGTCTGTGTCACATCTACAAAATTAAGGCAAAATAATGCCTACCTCATGGGGGTTATAAAGATATAAAATGAGTCAATGTGTGTGAAGCTCCTTAGAACAGGGCCTGCCCCATGATACAGGTTTAGTGAATATTAAGATTTGCTGTCACATGGTGATTCTGGATCATTTCACATCAACTTTTTATGATTGAAATTTGAGAGAAACATGAAGTTGATTGTGATGGGTGCTTGCAAGTTTAAAAAAGTGACCAGATGCTCAATTGGTCTAGTACAGGAAATCTTAACCTGAGGTCTTGTTCCATTTATGAGCTGCCAGGTGATCGCAAACCCCTTGAAACTGAGGCAGAATTTTTGTAAATATTTGTAAATTTATTTTTTTAAGGGGGCAAAATGTCTATAATTTCATGCGATTGTCAAGTGTGCATGACCCAGAAAAGGTCTAGCTTCACTGGTCTGGAATTAAGATTTAATAGCTGGGAAGGAACTTTTACAAAATTAGGGTCCAGTGGTATGGAAACAGTTAAGTAAATGGCAGTATATCCTGTAATGGAATAATGTGCACCTAATAAAAATTATGCCTGTAAAGAATCAAAAGGAAAAATGTAAATAATAAAATATTAAGTACTAGTTGTAGTAATGAACAAAAGTCCCCAAGATTATGATGAGTTATATAAGAATCCCATTCAGTGAAAGAAAGTCTTGAAAGACATTTTTCAGGAATTGTATCCAAAATGTTTTTTAATTGACTCTTCAGTGAAGAAATGGAGAGGTGTAGCCACACTTGTTGAGCATCTGTTCTATACCAGATATTGTTCTGTTTATGTGCATATATTTCCTTCCTCCGACTTTGAAGGTGACTTACATAATTGGTGTTCATTGTGGGGAAATTTTTTTTTTTTAAGATTTTTATTTATTTATTTGACAGAGACAGAGGCAGCGAGAGAGGGAGCACAAGCAGGGGGAGTATGAGAGGGAGAAGCAGGCTTCCTGCCGAGCAGGGAGCCCGATGCGGGGCTCGATCCCAGGACCCTGGGATCATGACCTGAGCCAAAGGCAGACGCTTAACGACTGAGCCACCCAGGCGCCCCTTCTTTTTTTTTTTAAGATTTCTTTATTTTTGTGAGACAGAGTGGGGGGGGCGAGCTTGAGCTGGGGGGAGGGGCAGAGGGAGAAGCAGACTCCCCGCTGAGCAGGGAGCCCGATGCCGGACTTGATCCCAAAGTCAGATGCTTAACCGACTAAGCCACCCAGGTGCCCATTACAGGGGAATCTTGACAGTGAAAGTGTCTCAGTGTCGTGGTGAGCTTACAGCTACAGACGTTCAACGGCTAGTAGGTACACTTTGTTTCCGGCACACTGATGGTCAGTGTTGGGTCTGTTTTTTCAATTTTCTTAATGGCTGAAAGATGCCCCTTCCCGATCATTCAATTTTTTTTTTTAAAGATTTTATTTATTTATTTGAGAGAGAGCATGAGAGGGGGGAGGGTCAGAGGGAGAAGCATACTCCCCGCCGAGCAGGGAGCCCGATGCGGGACTCGATCCCAGAACTCCAGGATCATGACCTGAGCCGAAGGCAGCCACCCAACCAACTGAGCCACCCAGGCGCCCATCAATTTTTTACATTTGGGAATACCTTTGCATTTCTGATGATGAAATTAATATAGGTTTGTTGCAAAAAACTCAACAATCCAGGAAGCATATAGAGAAGGAAGTTAATCATTCTTAATACTTTGGTGTGTTTCTGTTTAAATTTTTTTGTGCGTGAGCCTATGTGTCTGGTTTTGTTTCTGCAGAATAAGATAACAGTAATTGGTGATACAATTGAGTTGAAGACTCTCTAGCTCTTATTTTGAAGAAGAAATCCAACCCAGATGTGGGTTTTATTTTAATCTTGAATATGTAGAAAGAAGAGGGAAGTGGCAGTGATTTCTTATTTAAAAACCTGAAGTATTAACAACTTTTAGGCATATAGAAACACCATTTAAAAATTAGTTATAAGGGCGACGAAGACAGACTTTCAGAATTAGATTATTTTAAAGGTTCCTTCCATAGAAAATAATGATAATTTTCCAGTGTATGTATATGTTCTGTCTTATGAAAATCTATTTCATAGGGGCACCTGGGTGGCTCAGTGGGTTAAGTGTCTGCCTTCGGCTCAGGTCATGATCCCTGGGTCCTGGGATCAAGTCCCGCATTGGGCTCCCTGCTCAGCAGGGAGCCTGCTTCTCCCTCTCCCTCTGCCACTTTTTCTCTCTATCAAATAAATAAATAAAAATATTTTCAAAAAAACGTGTTTAAAAAAAAAAGAAAATCTATTTTATAAATAATATTTCCAAAGACAGTTACTAATTCCAGAAGGTAGAATAAGAAGGTTATAGTGATCAATATTCAAATAAACCACCAATTGCACAGAACAAGATCGCATCTCTGGTTAATGTTCTCTTAACCAACTGAGCCACCCAGGCGCCCTCTGGTTAATGTTCTCTTGACATCTAATTGGGTAATATTTTCTGAGCCAGCTTTATAATGCTGAGTCCTATCTCTGTTTGCTGCTTCTGGGAGGAGGGGATATCTCCTGTATGTCTTTCTGAGACCCTGTTTTGCTTATGTTGTTATTTGGGAAGAATAGCAAGCTCAAGGCTGGGCTGTGAAACTTTAATTAACTTTGTAAGAAAATAGGCCTGAAAAGTACAGATATTATTATGAAAAAATGGAAAGGGGTGTTAACTTTCCTTAGAATAAGGGACAATAATCTTTTGCATCTTCAGTAATGGCTAATTGTTGTACACTTATTGTTGTTACTTTTGTTGTTGTTGTTTTAAGTAATCTCTGCACGTAACGTGGGGCTCAAACTCATAACCCTGAGATTGAGAGCCACGTGCTCCTGTGAAGGAGCCAGCCAGGCGCCCCTGTTGTACACCAGGGATTTTTGTGGATTTTTTGTGGATTTTCTTACATAATCTTCAATGCAGCCCTCTGTGGTAGACAATGTTCCTATTCGTCTTTTTTTTTTTTTTTAAAGATTTTTATTTATTTATTTAACAGAGATAGAGAGAGAGCACAAGTAGGCCGAGTGGTAGGCAGAGGGAGAGGGAGAAGCAGGCTCTCCGCCGAGCAAGGAGCCCCATGTGGGGCTCGATCCCAGGACCCTGGGATCATGACCTGAGCCGAAGGCAGACACTTAACTGACTGAGCCACCCAGGCGCCCACCTATTTGTCTTTTATTGGCAAGGAAATAGAAGTTTTGAGAAACTGGTCACTGTCAAGCCCAGATTCACATCTTGAAAGTTCAACACCAGAGTTTTTATCTTAATTTCAGATACACTTCCCACATTGTGTATACTTTACAAACCTGCCTGCCTCCCTAAGGAATTGATTACGTGTGTTTTTCTTCATCAGTTAATATGGTCTAATACAATCAAACTAATGAGGACATAGCAGGCCACAATCTAGCAAACCATTTGCTTACTGTTAGGTAGTTTCTGATTCTTTATCATAAATGATTTTTGGTTGAATATTTCTTTTTAATTTTATTATGTTATGTTAGTCACCATGCATCATTAGTTATTGATGTGGTGATCCACGATCCATTGTTTTCATATAACACCCAGTGCTCCATGCAGTACGTGCCCTCCTTAATACCCATCACTGGGCTAACCAACCCCCCCTCCCCGCTCCCCTCTAAAACCCTGTTTGTTTCTCAGAGTCCATAGTCTCTCATGGTTCATCTTTCCCTCCTATTTACCCCCCTCTTCATTTTTCCCTTCCTTCTTCTAATGTCCTCCGTGCTATTCCTTATATTCCACAAATAAGTGAAACCATATGATAATTGACTTTCTCTGCTTGACTTATTTCACTTAGCATAATCTCCTGCAGTCCCATCCATGTTGATGTA